GTGCACCGGCCGCCGCCGGCCGCAGCCTCGCTCTGGCTTGGTCTGTGCCCCCCGACCGGGCCGGTCGTCCTCACGCCCCCCCTTGCTCCGGCAGTGCGTCCCGGGGTACCAGGGCGTCAACTGTGAGTACGAGGTGGACGAGTGCCAGCACCGGCCCTGCCAGAACGGAGGCACCTGCATCGACCTCGTGAACCACTTCAAGTGCTCCTGCCCGCCGGGCACTCGGGGTACGCCGGCCCTGCCCCCCGCCCACCGCCGGGGTCTCTCCAGCGACAGGCCGCTTTCGGGGTTGGGGCTTCTACGCCGTTCAGGGCGGTGACGTCCCGCGAGTTAGCCTGGGTAGCAGGTGACCCAGGGAGGGCGGCGGTGCACGGGAGACCCGGTTCACCAGCTCGTGCGTCTCTCGGACAAGCCCACCGCGCTCCTCGGCGGGGGGCGGGGGGCCCCCAGACGCTGGTCTGTGGGAGGCCCGGGGCAGCCGCCTCCCTCCCGCCCGGCGAGGTTCCAGCGAGGACGCCTGGGGAGGCAGCGCCCCGTTCTCCTCGGTGACCTGCCCCCTCGCCGCCTCAGGTCTGCTTTGCGAGGAGAACGTCGACGACTGCGCCGGCGGCCCCCGCTGCCTCAATGGCGGTCAGTGTGTGGACAGGATCGGGGGCTACAGCTGCCGCTGCCCGCCCGGCTTCGCGGGCGAGCGCTGCGAGGGCGACATCAACGAGTGCCTGTCCAGCCCCTGCAGCTCCGAGGGCAGCCTGGACTGCGTCCAGCTCACCGACGACTACCAGTGCGTCTGCCGCAGCGCCTTCACGGGTGAGCGCCCGGCGGGCGGGCTGGGGTGCCCGGCGGGCGCCGAGGGCCGGGCCGTGGACTTGGGGCCGCGGTTTCCGAGGTCCGTGCCCCGTGGCGTCGCGGGCAGGCCGTCCCTTTATTCCTTCCCCGAGACGCTTCTGTGTTGGTTCTGTCGCACGGCAGAAGAACCCACGCGACAGACTCAGAGCTGCTAGGGACACGGAGCCGGCCGTCCACGCGCTCAGGCGCGGGCACGTGGCCGGCGGCCGCCGCCTGAGGTGGCCACTTCCTCGCCTCCCCTCTCGGACACCTAGTGCCTGGGCTCCCGGCAGCTCCTGCCCCGCCCTCTTCCGTCCAGCGTGGGCCTGTGAGGCGCTGACAGTCGTCCAGGGAACTAAAGGGGCTAAGTGCAAGTTGGGGTGTGTTGGGCCAGAAATAGAAAAGCCGCAGGGCCACGGGGCTGTGCCCGGAGCAGCGGAAACGGCCCGCTGCCTGTTTTCTCTGACTTCTTCTGTCCATCACGAGACGCCCTGCCCAGCGGGGGCTCCGTCCCCCTCGCTGACCGGTCAGCCTGGAGAAGCGCAGCCGGCCACTCCGGGGCTTGGCGCCGTCTCTGTCTGCCTGTGGCAGCAGCGGCAGCACTGACGAGACCTGTCCGGCGCTTCCTGGGTCACTTCGGCCCTGGCGCGGCCGAGGGGTCTCCTGCGCCAGGCCTGTGGCCAGGCGCCTTCACGTCCGCGGAGAAGCCGCAGCGACCTGTTCACTGGTCAGTGCCAGCAGGTCAGACCCTGGCACGTTGCGAGTCCATGTCCAGCCCTCCTCCCCACTTTTAATGGGTGTCGCCCTTCAGGACGCTGGACCTTTATAAAGGACAAGGGGGGTCTCGCCCGGGATGCTCCCCGGCTGCGTGATGTAGGGGGACCCGGGCTGTGGCCACGTGCACAGCCTCCCCCGCCGGCCCCGAGGCGTCCCTGGCCCGGGACGCTGATGGGCGCGTGGGGGCGAGG